AATTAATGAAGAATTATATGATTCGGTTTGATATTTTATGCTTCTACTAAGTGCTTATGACTAAGTGAGATGGGTGCAGTTGTGACTGTTTAGCTGTTTTCCCAGCATTTTTGATGATGTGATGTTAACTAATTTACTTGTATGCATGTATGGAGACTCCTTTTCGAGGAATCCCATAGTATATCAGTTTGATGGACATTTATATAGAATGAAGATGTGTAATGAGATGATGCGCGCGAGTATATATCAATCTCGCGAGGATACGAGGGTGGATTCCTTTTTGCCTTTTGTCGCTTGGCTTTACTGGAAAGTTAGGATTGACGCAGTCTTCGAGATACCCTCCTCCAGTTATGGGGAAGGACGGGGTCAATCCGAACTCCTCAGTGAACTAAACGACAACTCTTGTTCCATATTCCCTTCCCTAAGCCGATTCAATAACCACAATTAATTCCCACTCAATTTCAGGTACCAATCCAATTTAAAGAGAAAGCTACTAAAGCTAAAATACAAAAGGACAAGGCGAGCGACATATAAATACGCAAAAAGAGATAGTAGGTATTAAGAACAAAATGGTGATCTCTATTTTGATCGCAGTCTTCTTTCGTTGTATAAAAGTAGTCTAGCCTTGTTTTCACAATTTGATCGCGTCGTCAGGCAGATCATGATAAGCGCATCTTGTCCAAAATTATATGAATTAGTAGTCATGATCATTTCCAAAGTCGGGTTGTGGAACATTGGTAGATCAACAGAAGTTGTCAGCATCGTTAGTAAATCTTGCCATTCCTAGCACTAAGAAACAAATTATCTATTTGGCGCTAATGTAAATATACTAGGCCCATTATCCAAGGCTGAAAATTAGCACGACTATTGCGACAAGGAACTTTGGACAAGATGAGTTCGCAGAAGTCTCCCAGACAAAAAGATCAGTGTGAAAATGATATCAACCTACTTACTTTGAAATAATTATAAGCTAGTAGGATATAGTTGAAAATCGAATAAAATCAACGCTGGAAAATTGTAGATTCGATGCAAAAAAAAACTATTTCCGACATTTTGCGAGCGCCTCAGGGCAAAACAGTCAAATTATGGGGATGTTTAACCACACATATTCACATGTTATGACAGACGCTACCCATAGAATAAAGCTTGTAGAGACACGAGTACAAAAAGATCATACCAAATCTAGTTAAGATGAAGTTATGGTTGGACTATCCTTTAATGATGCATTTTGCCATTTACTCTTCGTAACAGCAGTGTTTTCTGCGAAGTTGTGGCCAGAATGGTGTCCTGTTGTGGAGGTGTAAGCCACAGATCGGGCAAAAGCTCAGCGAGCCTTTGCCAAGGATGGAGGATGTCCCAAGGAGTGGTAGGCCTTAAATACAAACTGTTTAACGGACAAAAGAGCGTCAAATTTTGGCCTCTAGTGAGGTCAGCCAATGGATCCCTCCAAAATTGTATGGGCTTCACGCAAAAAGTGCGCGGATTATGCTGAGCAATGAATACAGAAAACTAACCGAGAAATTTGTCTGCAGATCTATACGAGCTATAACACTGTCCCATCACTTAGTCGTGAAAAGTCCCACCCGATATATTAAGTCATATCACGATGAATGCAAATTGATATGTAAGTGTACAAACTTTCGAAACAAGGGCAGGGAGAAAAGCAGCATATCCCATCTCCTTGGAAAAACGAAGGTACAAGGCCACATCGGTGCAGAAACAAGATTCCGACTCCAAGCCGGTGAAGTTACATCCGAGAGATCAAAGCAAGGGCTATTAGAAAGCCTTCCAGGCAATGTCTAAGCGGAAGAAGCGCAAAAAAGCGAGTAGTGCCATTATGAAGCGGCACGAAAGAAATAGAAGTTGAGCCTCTAGCGTATCGATCCACCGAAACGTATTATGGATCGATGACTTGAGAATGTGAGACCTCGTCTCAAACACTCGCCTAGGGCAGGTGAAGTCTGAATTTCCAGAAAGACTGACGCTTCTCGCACGGCGGACTCGTCACCGGGCAGGCTAAGGCACAGACAGGCCCAGTCAACGCTTGGCAGAGGACAAGATCATCCAGCCACCTCTCTGACCCAAGAAGAGAGTGTATATCGGATCTAGCAGGAGAAAAGCCCAGAGCCAGACCGAACAAGGAGCACTGGCCGATAGAGAAAAGATTAGAAACAAGTCCAAATTGAAGCATTAATTAATTAATTAGTTAATTAATTAATTAACTAATTAATTAGGAAGAAAAAGACAGAAGAAGAAAGAAAAGAGGAAACGATCCTGTTGAAGAAAGGACCGATCCTGAGACACCCACGAGGGCCACCATACGGGCAGTGCTCTAAAAGAAGCCACGCTCTACAGCGCGCTTATGCATGCAGAAGCGGGACAAGTTCCAGCAGCTACCTAGACCACCAGTCTGAATCCGCACCCGAAACGCAGCATAAACAAAAGCAATGGCCTGGTGCTCGACGATTTCATCGAGTGCCTGGTATCGAGTAAGGAAAAAAGCATCAAAGCCGCCCAACTAAGAGAAAGCGACATGATCAACCTGTGCCAGCTGACTAAACACGTACTAATGAGTCAGCCGGTTCTCCTGGAGCTAGAGGGCCCGCTCAAGGTTTGCGGGGACATTCATGGCCAGTTTCGAGATTTGATGCGACTGTTTGACCTATGCGGCCATCCAGACACGACAAATTATCTCTTTTTGGGTGATTACGTGGACCGAGGCAAACAGAGCTTGGAGACCATAAGTTTACTTTTCGCATACAAAGTAAAGTACCCAACAACATTCTTTCTGCTGCGGGGCAATCATGAGTGTCAGGCTATCACACGGATATACGGTTTTTTCGATGAGTGCAAACGAAGATATAACGTTAAATTGTGGAAGTCTTTTCTTGACGTCTTCAATTGCCTCCCCGTAGCTGCAGTTATCGAGAATCAGATATTTTGCTGTCATGGTGGAATATCTCCTGATTTTATGAAATCGGATATTTCTTCTCTTGAGGACCTAAAGACCAAAATAAAGGCTGTACCACGACCATCAGATGTACCCGAAGACGGGATTGTCTGCGACCTCCTATGGGCAGACCCCCTGAACCCGGAACTACTAGATAATGATGCTGAAGATGTGCCACAAGTCTTTCAGGAGACTGGGTTTGCGCCGAACGAGCGTGGCGTCTCCTATGTGTTCAGTCCAGATGTAGTAGATCGGTTTTTGTCGAGATTCGGGCTTGACCTTATGGTCCGTGCACACCAGGTCGTGGAGGATGGCTATGAATTTTTCGCCAACAGATCTTTTGTAACAATCTTCTCGGCACCAAACTACTGCGGGGAGTTCGACAATGCAGGAGGTATATTTTGCCTGAGTCGCAGTGTCAGCTTCAAGCAAGCCACAAATGAGGAGGAAATAGACCTGGAGGGGAGCTTTCAAATCCTCTACCCAGAAGTGAGGAAACGTTCGACCATCAAACGGCCAACCATGCCGCCGTCTAAGAGATGATGGTATAGGCGGATTATTTTGTCGTTATATTCATTTTGTCTATGAAAAATCGAACAAGCACATCTATATGCAATTACCCACATGTAATTTTGCCTGAAATGTGTTGTTCCTGAATTTCTCCACTGGATAGCCTCTTATTGCTCTTTGCTCTTTTCTAGCACTTAACGTTGGCTGAAATACAAGCCCAAAAGGATAAGCAGGGTAAGGCGGTCCCTTAAGCATGCCCTTGGACACCCAAATCAAACGGCCTAATTTAATCCCAGGGCCATGGAGACCAGACAGAGTAAGCCGCAGGATAGAAAAAAGGCTGCAATCAAAAAAGAACCATCGCACTATCCTCCAAGCGGTCAATCAACCTGAGATCCAGACAGAAGCACATCTCTTGCATTAGCGCATCGAATTTAAACCTATCTGACCATGGCAACGAGCGAAATCAGCCAAGAAGGTGGTAGTTAATATTGTACTATTTGTGTAGCCTACGGGTGTACGCTTGTGGAATATCATGCATAGAAATAACAAGTAGCCTGAGAAGGCAAGGTGGACATTACTTTTGAAAGAAGCATGGGGAGATCGAAATAGATGGAAGAGCGAGTTGGTCGGCAAGGCAAGAAGTGAAATTGGTTTCTGGTAAGTATTGCTGAAATAGGAGTTCACAAATGAATGATGAGAAAACAGGGTAAAATCTACTCGCTAAGCAACAAGAAAAGATTTAGACTAGGGATGAGGCCTAGTGAACAGGAGAAAATTAAATGCAGCTGGCGCTTATCAAAAGACCCCTTCATGATTGTTTTAATCGATTGTCTAATTGAAAAGAACGATAACTAGTTAATACTTAGGAATGTCATTCCGGCTAGAATAAGCCCAAACGATCGAGTAGTATCATGTCACTACAAGAGCATAGCAGCAAATCGGTCGATTTAGTTGATCACTAAGCAAAAATTTAGTTATAGTCGACAGATCGAGTCGTTATTGCAATTGCTTGATGAAAAAACCACAGAGGACCCAAGTCTGAGCTGGGAAAAAGTTTACGGCGAGACTTCGCTGAGAGTCGACCAAGTATCTGATTAACAACGAGATGTCAAAAAGTGGCCGAAATTAGCAAACTATAAAGCTGAAGACAGAAATAAGCGTTCGAGCTCTTGTTTTGATATATACTAAGAGGATAAGCGTAATAATCTAATACTGCCTTTTGAATTTGAGTAATAGCTAAAATGCATCTCGCCACATCGAGACAGCATCAGTAAAATGGTTGTATAAAGCCCAAGAATCACAACACCTCTTCATTTGTATCTCTAAAAACCTCGATAGTGACATACTGTAAGGTGATGGTGACTTAGTACAAAGGTTATGACATCAAATGCAGCCCAAATGATGATTATAAACACGCAGAAAACAACATGAATAAAGACGCCAATCTAAACGAGTTCCGCAAAATAATAACGTCCATTTCCAAATCCAAACGGTGACCCGAGGTGACTGAAGTTCTGATAAAATCAATATTGCATTGCTACTTCTGAATGCAGATGTGTTTGGGTAGGAGGATGGTTAAATATGGAATTATAGAAAAATGTCAGTAAAAGAAAATTTCAAATAGACCTCAGAAACAATCTTCTTAGAAGCTGGCAAAATGACAAATAAAAAATAACCCGATAGATAGGCTATTGATGATGCTACCTGGTTTACCAAGTAGAACGATCTTAGGAAGAAATATCAAAGGTACGCCACATGTTTATAAATGTAGGACATACTAACTAAAGAAAGGTCATTTTAAGGCCTAACCGAGGGGAAAGAAAGTAGATCTAATGACAAAAGAATGTAGACCTGCATACAAATATATAAGCCATATAAGCTCATTGAAGGCAAAAGAATACTCAATTACTGATGTTTAGAAAGCATGCTAGGTCAAAGTAATAGGTTGAGACATAAGTTAGCACCAATAGTAATTGCACAACTTGGTCATATTGGTAGAAAGCCTAGAGGAACGCACCCGATCGGGAGTCTATAGTAAGCATGATAATTCCCAGTTTGACCATGGACGTGATACATTCCAAGACGTTTTGCCGGCATTGTAGCCTGCATCATCAGTGAGCTTTGCCAGTCTTAGCACCACACTACAACTCGTAAAATAGATAAGGGAAGTCGATCCTATGACGAATTGTCTGCTAACCAGTTGTGCTATCTCTCATTCTGTCCGGGGCTATTTACCTATCCTATATCCGCGTATCATCCGTTCAATAACACTATTTCTTATTTAAATGTGGCATGTTGCACCCTTTTTGTGCGGATTTCATGCGAACTCTCCAAACCCCACACGGGCTTTCTCACACT